GCCATATGAGCTCCCAGAGCCTTCCCTTGAGCACTGTCAGCCATCAGCCGCCCTCCCAGCATCCTGTTCCCTCCCTTCTCGCCGCAGCTCACCTGAGGCGAAGCAAGATGGACGCCCTCAGCGGCCTCCTCCTCCACAGCAGCAGCCCAGCTATGCTGCCGCTGGTTGCAGGGAGGATGATGCTGCAGACACCTAAGAAAAGTCTTCACAGCAGCCCTAGACATCTGCCTAGACAGGTCAGATGTTATACTGGGATGAGGAGGGTTTTACCAAGGAGCTTGTTGCTGCGGTGAGGCTTAGGAACTTGGTCACCACTGCCATCCGCCATACTGTGCAGTTATAAGCAAGACGTTTCCTTCTTGTGCCTCAGTGTCACTGTTTAAAAAATGGGAATGACGACGCTGCCCATCTGTGTGGAATTTTTTGGTTGATAAGTAAAAAGATGCTTATCAAATATACTCCTTGGTAATTCTGTAGTTCATGTCAAAGCTTTTTCTTCCATATTTTCCACCTATTATAATCTAAGCATTTTCCCAGATTCATCTATAAAAAGAATGGGATTTATGTAGTAATATTTGTGCTACAAACCGGCCATCTGCATCCTTGTTCTCTGTGTTAAATGAAAGGCATCTTACAATTATGTTGTTAGCTCATTATTGATCAATTATTTTTTTAGTAGGCAAAAAGAACACTTCGGTACTTGCTGTATACTCAGTAGGTTACCTGCTGCCAGCAGGCACTCTCTTATCCTCAGCAAACTTGTGAATGGACCTGTGTCATACTCCTTCTGATTGTGTGGAAAAAACTTCATCAGTACTATTTTCAAGGCTTTCTTCCGATATTTTTTCAATGAAGAATAGCTTTCCAACATACCACAATATTTTGACAACTTTTCATATTTTTTTTCTTCCTACAAAGCAGCATTAAGAAATAGTATTTTGTAATACATACAACAGTGTAATTCATATTTTTTAAACTGGTATCCTTTTTCTCTTAGGTTCATTCAACTCTCTCGCAAGGTGACGGGAAAGGTCCCTGGAACACACAAGGTACTAACACTGGTAAGGAAAGAAAGCCCAAATAGCACATTATGGGACATGCTGGGAAACACAATATGAAGACACTTGATGGCGGTAGCTCAGGTCCAGCAGGAGTGACAAGTTCAGGCTCATCATCAGTGCAAGACTTGCTTGCAAAACCACATCACTCACTGTACGTGCCTTGTGCCAGTGCAGAAACCAATAATTTATCTGTGTGAGCTGTCTGGAATTTGGAGCAATGCACAAAGAGTAGAGTGCTTTCAGATCATTGTTTAGAGCTGGATTTTGCTGGTCCCAAACTGACAAATATGGAGTGCCTTAGTATCTGAACTGCTTGCTACACAGGATCACAGCAGAAATATACAGTTATACATTAGTGATCACACAGACAACTACTTGAATGCACTCAAGTGATTGAGTTATTTTATTGTTTTATTATGGAACTAGGAGATTATACATATATCAAGGACTTGGGCTTTTTGGTGACCGTTGCTGTGTCTTGGCACTTTTTTACCATTATGGGTAAACTGAGGGCCGCTCTGTTGAGGTACAAATAGTTGTAATTACCTGGAATTATGAATATCTTATCCTAAACAATAGGTAAGTTCTGAGCAAGGAAAAGAAATATTCTTCTATCCTTCCATTTCAGTGGAAATGCCAAGAAATTGAAAGCTGTATTAATTGATATATACTAAAAATTTATTCTAGGTATCAGGAAAATTCTGGCTACATTTGGATTTAGACTTAACTTTTTCCTCAGCTCGTTCCACTCTGAGCACTTTTTACAGTTGATAAAGGAGAATCACAGACCAACTTGCTTGCATAAAAAAAGCGTATTTTCTTTGCCATGAAAAAAATCCAACAAAACACTTGTTCTATTGGGTGCAAGAAAGCATTCTTGGTTGCTGCTTCATGCAGTGCTAGTTCTGTTGTGCACTGAAATAGCCTGTTAATGAATTTTATGAACAGCCATACTTATAGTAAGTAGGCTAATAGGGAACTAAGAACGAGTGAAAACAAAACTGAAAGACACTGATGGCTTTGCTCTAAGTGCAGTTAAGATGTCACCCTGCGTGTTCCTCCACCATATGGCACAGCATTGCAACAGCTCCACCCATTTCCCTCAAGGAAAATTCAGACCATACTGGTTATGTTTATCATCTTCTCCATGAACAAAGATGCAGTGTTTAAAACTCAAAGCTGAAGAGACAATAGAACCTAAAAAAAAGAAAAATAGGAAAAAAACAATCTTTGGTCTCACTTGGTATCATTTTACATAAACTTTAGCTGTGACAGTTTACTTTAATGTCCAGCAATAAGCTGCTGCCATCAAAATCAATTAATTTAAATCTGTCCTCTACCTGGGAAAAAGTAACATTACAGGTTTTAGGTAGCCACTATTCCCAGCTAGACTTGTGTCATGCAAAAGTAATCAGCTACTACTCTGTGGAACTCTTAATGCTGCATTCCTCTTTAACACCTTTCAAATTGGATGTTTAGCACAGAAGCGAACAGAAAATCAGCATTTACTAGCATGCATATAGTTCCCTAATCCACTGCTAGTTAGTGAAGGGTTTACATAATTTACTGTCTTACCGGACTAAATAGTAATCAACATGGCACTTCTTTCGCCACTCCTGCACTATCATGCCAATTTTTATCTTTTTCCTTCCTTGTGACAAACGAATGAGAACATACACGTGTATCTTTCTGTACTGCCCAATTGGTTTCAGTATTAAGTATACTAATATGCAAAGGAGACATGGAATAGTTTGTATTATTTTGGCCCATTTCCTTGATTCTCCTAATTGCCTCTAGATGAGCTTTTTACTATTTAAGAAGGTGGCCCCAAAGATCCTGTGTCTTATTCCAATCTAGAACTAAGCAAAATGATCCCATTCACAACTGTGCTCTTGTTAAGGAAAAGCCCTTCACTGGTCATAATCTATTCCCTTACTACTTATTAAAATTATACCAACTCTAGTCAGCGACAACAGGCTTTAGGAACCTGCCTAAGTTTTTTATGGGGACAGAACTTAGCGATCACATAGCATTTACTAGGTAAGCATTGCTTCTTGGCAAACATGTGCTGGCCAGAATGAGACTGCACACTTTAATAAATTGCCCACTCATACAGAAAAAATAGTCTAATTAGATGTGGAAAAATTCAAAACCTTTCTTCCCCCTCACTTTTTTTTGAGATGCTGTAATAACTGTTCCAATACACAGTCACTTTGTTGCAACCATCTTTCAGTTTGCTCCTGTTGAGGGAAGAGCAAAATGTTGCCTTTTGACTTCACAATACATGTTAGAGAGCCACACAAGGAGACAGACTTTCAACACTCTTATTTCCTCAGTATATTTCATCTCTTGTGCTTAAGCAAAAATGATTTCAGAACTCGGGGAATTGGTGAGAAAGCCACTGCTTTAGGATCAGGCTCAGTATCTCAGAAGTTTAACACAGCCCACATTTTGTTTACAGTCTACTTTGATTTTACCAGTATGAACACTTAAAACCAGAAACCAGTTAAAAGGAAGGTATAACAGACTTAAGCATGTACAGAGAGAGATGCACAGTAATCTTTACTTTGCTCCTGCTCTTTAGTCCTGTTGGTCAGCTTTCACTTTTGGGATAGATCCCAGAAAAGAGTTAATGGGGTGAAGCTGTTAGCTGCCATGTATTAGCTCTTTGCAAGACAGCCTGGCATTTCTATACAAACAGCATCACAACCTGTTAAAAGCTTACCACAGCATTCAGATTTACAACAGGCAGGGCAAAACCAAAGAGGTAACAGTGCAGATCATTAAAGCTAGGAAAATTATTCTGAAAGAGTATTGATGGTCAAAAGAATTTCCAACTTCAAAACCAATGTATGTATCACAGATCTTCTAAAGCATTAAAATATCTTCTATTGAGAAGAGTTGTGCATTTACACTAACTGAAACCTTCCCTCTTAAGCACTCTAGCATGGTACCTCTCAACTCGGATGAACAAGCAAATGGATTTTCTTGGTTTTCATTTCCTGGGCACTAAGATTTTACCTGCATTTACAAGGCTTCTTAGCTGCCCATAACACAAGAAGGCTGCTTTACTATCCACACGTTATTCATATAATATGCAGTTTTAACAGTAACTGTAAGAGTGTTAACGATATCGATATCTGTCTTTCGTTTAATCGTTCTTGATATAAGAACGAGCCCTTCAGACTCTGTCAGAAGCCTTCCTGCTAATCATTACCAACTAACAGATGTATAGCGCCACCTTGTGACAACACTTCAACAGTACACATCTTACACTGCTCCCATACACTGATCTTCAAAACTTCTCCTTAGAGGAGTACAGCCTATTTCCAAAATCCACAAAGAAAGCTGATTTAAGGAAATCAGGTTTACATTACACTACGTAGAAGTCTCTGCATCTGAAAATATTAGAAGGGTCTGTTTTATTTCCATGGAGAAATATTTTGAAATTCATAACCAAAGAAGGAACTAGTAGAGCATTTTCTAATTTTCTAATATTTATACTTGATAAAAACACCAATGATAATATCTGACAGGTTCATGGCTTATAGTATATTATGTGTCTATCTGGGAAATATATCGGAAGCGGTAAGAGTCACTTTTAAGCCTCTGACATGTTTTTTCCCTTTTGCAGAAAGATGTTTTTAAAAAGTGCTAACACTATTTACAGTGATAACAGTTCCTTAGAACTGCTACTGCTTTAATAAGCAATTCAAGTGAAGCAAAGATTTGTGTTTTTTTTTTTTTTCATAGAAAAATATTACTACAAATCTGTAGTAGCAGCAGTTTAATTTACCAAAATCTGGCATCTATCAGCAACAGAGCATACACAAAATATCTTCATTTATACAAATAAAATTAGGTTCCGAATATTCACAAAGTAACAGAACATAACAGAACAATGTTTTTCTTCACATTGATGCTTGAAGTTAAAATAAGTTGAGATATAAAAACCTTGTATAATATTCAGTCAAGCACCATGGCAGACAGGGCATTGAGATCTCTCATGAATGGATGATCTGCTAATATTTGATCTATCTTCTGTCTCTGCTCATAATCAGGAAAAATTTTTATCAGGGCTGCTTTTAGCTGTACTGTTTCTGAGGCAGATCTCTGTGGAGGACTTGCTAGACAAGCCTGTATGTTTGTTTCCGGAGGAAGCCATGTTGATGCATGATCACCATGTACTCTGTTTTGAGGCTGTTGACTGTTACTGGTTGGTTTGGGGACTGGTACGACGAAAGGTGTCTCAGAAGAATATTGTCCACTGCTCTGAAAAGCCTTTTGTGCTGATTGAAACTCTCTATGGAACAAAATAAAAATTTTGATTAAGTTAAAGGAGGTGCTAGCTGTCTCTGTACAAACACAGAAAAGAAGAATGTATATAACTCCTGTACGCTACTGCTGCTCAGCTACTTACTGATTAGGATCAAATTATAAGCATTTTGTCAAAGTGAAACAAAACAGTAGGTCTAAGTTTTCAGTTTGAACCTGGCATGACTTATCTAGGACTAGTTCAAACATGCTGTGAGTACTTAAAATACAGCAACAATGAAAGTTTATTTTATGGAATCATCAACAGCAGTATTATTGAGCTAAATGGATACAAAAGATACACTGAACACATGTACACTGACTCAGAACATGTGAAGGTACTGACAGGCCAAAGGGGCTTCCAGATGCTTCTCATCTACTTTTGTTCAAGACTGTGAGCTGTGCTCACCTTTAGATCAAGGCCTTGTTTCCCTAGTAGGATATCCTTAATGGGGCAAAAGTTTTTTTTCAGCCATTTCAAGGCCTGAATAGTCATCCCTAATTATTGAGATTTCATTTCAGACTGAAAAATTGCTGTTACTCTGAACTGCTAGTGCTACAAAATGTAGGGCCAAGTTTACTTCAGATGCTGCCAGATAATACAGAAAGATGAACTGGAATTCATGATACAGTCTTGTTTCTTACCACACAGGGAAACAGCATCTACATTACACAGCTCTATTTTAAAAGCATTTAGATTACAACACATCCCATTACTCAACATGGAAAGGCTCCTAACTGCTCCAGATCCTTCTAGTTTTTGATCTCATTCCTGGTGTCATTTATGCTTTCTGCATCATTTAACTCAAGTAGAAAAGTCTCAAGGAAGGAACAAAATTAACTCTTTACAATGACACCTTTTCTTCATCTTAGAAAGCTTCACCACACCCCCACAAAAAAACCCCATAGTTACAGTTCCAAGTTTACAGATAGTAAAACCAAGCTCTTCCAGAGTATTCTCAAGTCTCTTCCCATTTCTACAATCATCACAGTAGCTCTCAGAACATACTCTGTTTTCATTTTTTTTTGATGTAGGCTGCTAAAAGTGTTCCAAATGACAACCTGTGTTTTTCATTAGAGCTTGAATACTTCATATTTCCTACTAGAGTTCTAGAACTGCACTTGCTTTCTCATGTCAACATTACATGCTTGTTTTCAAATCAACCTGTGACCTACTTGCCTATATATGTCCCACGTTCCTCAACTGTTTGCAGTAGCTGAGATTCTTATTTATTCTTTGTATTAATCCTTAAGTATAGCTTGCCTTTTGTATTGCTGGATTTTAATTACCTCACTTGTTTCTAAAAGCTCTCTCAATACTCCTTACTATTATTAGCATTTATAGTTCCTAAGCTGATGAAACAAGAGCAAAGAACAGCTTATTTTCTTGTGCAGAACAGCAAACCCATTCTCAAGTCTTGGCAGTTAATGCAAAGCAAATAATTTATAAATATAAATATTTAGCATTATGAATCAAAAATAATTTTCTTATCAAACGCATTTATGAGAGGCTTTGTTAACAGTACAGGATCCTCAAGGGTGCAGTGAAATGCCTCTCCTGTGACAAAGAATAAGTGTAGAGTGTTTCTTCTGTAACACCTATTGTCCCACTATGAACAAGTAAGTCATCAACCAAGGTCTTTTAAATAGCATCACTGTAACTAACAGGATACCAGGCTACCACATACCCAAACCACTGGCAGCTCTGTGTGATGGCAGCGCAGTCTGGATCACCTTTGTACCAAAGCCACCATAATCAAATCTGAAAAAATTACCTTACTTATCTTAGTTTTGACAGAGATCTTGATTAGGTGCAAATGTCACCAGCAGTTTCTGAACAAACTGAAGTAACAGGAAAAACATGTTTTTGTTAAGCTACTACACCCTACAGTGTTTTTGCTTAATTTTACTGTACCTTTACTATATAGATCTAAGGCGGTGTTCAGGTGAACCAGGAAAACAGCTTAATTCAAATGTGAAATCTTAACTGTCTCAAAAGTGAAAATAGTGCTTATACCTAAAACAGCCTTCACTTCGAAGGAAGTCATCTAATCTAGGTCCATTTCTTCCCAAAGGATCATCAGGAACCATAAATATGTCACCAGCAAAAGTGTACTGGAGCAACCTGCAGGAGAGTTATTTCAGTGTTATTTACTAACAATAAATGCTGCCTTTCACCTTACAGCAGACACTTTACATCAGGAGTCACTGAAGCTTAACTAGTAATCCATTTTAGATACAAGCAGCACTCGCCTAATTTAGTGGGAGCTGATGTGAATTGTTGCTATTACACTGCAAAACAGTGAGTAGGTTTTTTTTCCCTATTTTTTTTTTTTTTTTTTTTTTTTTTTTAAAAAAAACAACAAGCATTAGATGACTGCAAGTTTTTGCAAGGAGACCAGAGTGGAATTTTCTAGGTGATCAGAGAAGATTTTCTGCTTCTTCAAACTCCCCTTTCTCGTAAGGATCTTCAACCATGTAGCTAAACTGAACATATTATCAGAAAGCCACTCAACTAGGAAACACAGTATTAGTTGTTTACAGTTAACATGCAAAGACATCCTTATTTTCTGGAAACATTCTGGGACCAGGGCAAATCTGCATTGAAGGAAACAAATTAAAGCTTGTCTGTGAAGGGAGAATTTGGTATATTGGAATTTCCCCAGAAGTAAAACCAATAGCAGATGTTAACACAAGCTCTTAAAAAAACCACAGACTCAGGATGATGTGCTAAGTATTCTTGCTAAAGTTCGGTACTAGAACAAAACCTGATTTAGGCATAATTCACCCAAGAAACAGTGTAAGTACCTATATGATCAGCCAACAAATTTCATGTTCTCCCAGCTGTATTGTGAGAACTCAGGACTGTTTTCCATTATTTCATTAGACCTATACAGACCCCAGCCACTGCAGATGCACCCTCAGAAGATGTCAGGGAGACTCCAAGAGATTAGTAGGAAATTGGACCAACAGAAGACTATACCTCAATAGTGAGGTGACCCGATTTAACTGGAGGGGGAAAAAAAACAACCCCCTCAAGAAAAAAAAAAGAAACCAGCTGCACAGGAGAAATTATAACTCCCAGAGGATCCTGAAGAAGCAATATTTGGTAGATTAGTGAACGCATCTAAAACCAAGGGACACTCAAGAATTGCAGGGCAATGCCTGCAAACACGTAGAAAGTGTTCGGGTTTTTTTTGTTTAACTATACCAATTTGTCGTACCACAGTGAACAGTGACTGATACTGAAACCTTAAAAGTGACACTGCATGCCTGCATCAGCTATCACGTCTCCTTGGAGGAGTGAAATTTGAAATAAGAAAGGCTCTGAGAATGGACCACAAAGCATATACTCTAATAGGATCTAACACTGAGCTTCAGAAGTGACGTAACTTGGCTCCTACACCAAGCTCCTATTTATGTGATCAATTAACAGATGTACATTAGAAAACATATGAATAATAGGGATGTTAGACTACTCAATACACAGTTACAAGGCCATGAATCAAAGTGGTGAAACAGACAATACTATGCAGGGCTCTATCAGAATTGCACGACAGATTAATTAAAAATAAAAAAATCCCATGTGAAAGCAGAGTGCCTACAACTGCATAGACAGACATCCCTTTAAGCTTTCATAGAAATTAAGTAAATACCTTTTTTGAATAATTTCTCTCCAGGCAAGTGATTCTGTCACGAATTCTCTGAAGTTATCATTAGTCACAATAACACCTCCAGTTTTATCAGCAAGGTGTAATAAAAACCTGTAAAAACAATTTCAAGGACCATATTAAGGTAGTCTGCTTTGCTGAAAACTGCCCAAAGATCTTGAAAACTAAATATTTCACCATCCAAGAGTAATCTTCTATTTACATGAAAATGAGCACTTCGGTTACAAGGAAATTGTTTTGACCCACCATATAACTTTAAATGTTTTAAGCAGCAAGTGTTTATTTAGTGCAGCAGATTCTTCATGTGATGCCTTTTCCTGCTAAAAAAATGCCATAGGATTATCAGATTTTAAATATTTATAGAGGTAAATTATTTGCTTTACAGAATAACACAGTATTTATTACACAAGCCGAAACAAACTTATTTTGTATGCTTTTTGCTTTGCATTATGTCTGTGTTCTGCATGTTTGCTGTTTGCCAACACTTGCTAAAAAGAATGCTGCTACTGTTACATTGTTAAAATATGACAAAAGGTAACTACTGATTTTTGAAGAAAATCCCATGGCTTTTTCTACCTGTCTGAAAACAAGCTTTGTGCCATATTAAATTATTTTAGCAAAGAGATAATGGATGGTGTCCTTTTTAAAGGAAATTGTAGACTTTTGATGGAATTGCCAATATGCTAGCACAACACTCATTTCCACAGTAATCTTAACTATAAATACTGCACCTACAAAGCATTTTTATATGAAATGCTGGATTTACATAAAAACTTTAGTCTGTAAACAACCCCAACTTGGCTGCCTTGTACTTTTTTCCCCACAAAATTAAGATATCCAAGCTGCTGTATTTTAACAAGAAAGACAGAGTAAGTACACTCTCTGCATTTTGCATATCATATTTTTCTATCAGGTACATGACTGCACTATCTAACAAAACTAGGCATGTCTATGACGCAAAATCTCGACAATTTTGTAGTTGGAAAAATAAAGCATGAATGATTGTTAGTAGGAAGGAAGAAACTGAAATCCAGCAAACCATAGCTAGCCGCAACACAATTTCAAAGCTGAAAACTACTCATCTACGCAGAATTAGGAAAGCTGGTTGTGGAAAAAAAAACACTTAAGCAGCATGCACTTTTAACTGTCTCTCAAGTCTGCAAAAATTTGGCAACAGCAATACAAGCACTACGAAACCTCCCCAATGCCCAATGAAAACATCCTAAAGCTTACTGTTGTCTTGTTCACTGAAAGATGATCTCAACATTTTGAAGTTGAACATTGGTGCTCAAGTTAACTTGGAAATTTATAAGCCTAGTTACAAATACACTGCTCCAAATACACATCTATGTCTGTAAGCCACAGTGGCATCAATAAAATAAAAGTAACAAAATAGTACCTGATCAGCAGCTGATTTATTCTAGAGCTCCCCAAACATGAAAGACAGTACATGAATTGACTAATGATCAGGAAGGCATAAAAACATTACTAGAAGACTAATTTCTTCTTCAATACAAGTCATGACATTTGAAATGGATTCGCTTTTTGTTAAAATTGCCACAGAAATTTGCCATTCTCCATTAGTTTCTGAAAACAGTATGTACAATGTAATAACAGACTTACATACAGAAATGTCCAAATGACAGTAAAGTAACAGTCTTAAACTGGATGCATAACTCTGTTTAGACAGGTTAAAGCATTAGCTAACACAACTGCTCATGAAATATTAAGCTTTTACAACCATTAGTCAAATGTTTAAAGAGACTTTAAAAGTATGTGTATTCCATACCTGTCATCATGAGCAGCAATTCTTGCTCCTAAAACCATCCTTGCAGGGGTCAAAGACAATATTCCAACATCCTGGAGCTGTGTTAAAAAATCCTGCTCTGTTAAAACATGAAACAACTGTTCAAAAACCAAAAGTTTTCTTCTAGGCCATTTACAGATTTGACAGTTAGTCTGATATATAATTAGGAGAAAAGATGGACTATTTTTGTACCTATTAATCCACAGAAATTACATGTGGATAGCTGAAAACTGCTAATACGGTAAAAATACCCAGGAAGAGGCGGACACTAGAAATGAAAGACCAAACAAACCAGGCCAAAAGGCCTCCACTTACAGCACAAGTTAGCCTCAACAGCATTTCACAGTGTCCCACGCTGTATACTGAAACCAAATTACTCATGCTAAGCAGGCAGACAGCTTGTGCTTAATGTTTTATGAAGTATTCTTTCTCCATTCATTCTTCACAGAAGTAAAAAAAAAAAAAGGTTAACATGTAGTTTAATGAAGAAAACATTAGAAAACTATTTCCCTCACCTGTAATGTTCGGATCACGCCTTGTTCTCCACTGTGGAACAAACACGGTAATATTTCTGTGGCCACGTTTCCAAAAGTAGTCAACAGCTATTGCAATTCCTCGACAGGAGAAGAATTTCCTTAGACCATGACTGGGGGTGAAATAAAGAAGGGAGATTAAATTCATTAGTTTTGCTACTATGAATACAACAAAACCAGAACAAAACCTTGCAAAGTGGAGCTGGAATTTCTGTGTACAGCCTCATCCAAATAAAAGGTAGGTGGATATTATAAATAAGGAATCTGATAAATGGAATAAGATCTTCAACAAAACAGAACAGAAATGTCACTTTGCAACTTTATAGCTCAGGCTCCTTTTAGTTTCATGGGCAAAACAACATTTGAGTGATCAGAAGTGGGTTTAGCTTTAAAACCAGGACAATAGTGATGGTTTCCAAAATCTGTTAAATATAGATTAAAATGATCATAGACCAATGTTGTAGCATTTCCAAATACAGTCCCACTACAAAACAGAACACCTCTGGTTCAACTGGTTCCTAAGGATTACATCTGAGAAGCCCTCTGATAACCTAAGACATTAGGGCCTTCTCTCTCTTCAGTTCAATCATCTGAGCTACCATTTTCAAGCAAAATAATGACATTTCTTTGAAAACAGATTTTCAGAACATTGTGTTTTGTTTCCCCCCTCGTACAAATATATGATGCTCATTACCTGATTGTGCAACTCAGTTAAGTGAACTCACAGAAAAATCAGCAATTGATAATATGAGTGATACAGAGATTGAAGCTGACAACCTTGTGAGGTCCCTCCAAATCTGAATTTTCCCAATGCTCCTACATGACCATTTAATACATAGCAGAAAGTCCTCATTCAGCAATTAACTGTCTAACTGGATTATGGGAACTGAGCTTCAGGAGAATAATGGAAGAAAAATCTTAAAGCACAGAAGACAGAATCAAAAATACCTCCAGAACACACTCCTACAAAACATGTATTAGCACTTTACACAATGCTAAATTCAGTTTTCATTCAGAAACTTCCCTCCTCGCATTTTCATAGGTTAAAGGCAACAATTAGACAAAGATATACTTAGTTAGAAAAGACACACTGGTTCAGAACTGATGGCATGAAAAGGCAAAGCCTTTCTTATGAAGCAGTATGTATTCTGTGTTTTGAGTTAGATGTTAAGTCACTACAAAGTGCTTCTCCTAACAGAAAGTGACCAAGTGGCAGTCATACTTTAAATCAGTCTCCTATCATTGTATATTATAAGCCTAATAATGGTAAACCTTATTAGTTTTGACTGGAATCTTACCTTTAAATCCCTGGTTTAACCTACTATGAAATAATCTGAACTGAGTTCTTTAAAACATTTCCATGAAAATATTTAACACTGAAACTCAGCCTTTAGTAGCATTCACATATCCTTTTCCCATTTTGTACACTCAATTTATAATGAACATATCAAAACCTAAGTGTATTAAGGTTCTCTGAATTTGGAGAATGTTTTATGCAGATGGGCAGGAAAAGGAGTAAGCTACATCTGATCTATAAAAGGCAAACACTGACTTACTAGCGGTTTCTGGTGAAAAAATCCTATGCCATACTTTCCCCACTAGAATTAAGTGTTCTTGATGTCAAGAGCAGTCAAAGGAATTAAATTGTCACAGAACAGTGACAATTACCTGTTGTAGACCTTGTAAGTCATTAACTTAAAATGCAGTCATCATCCTCCTACTTTGTTAGCTATCCTATTCAATAAACTGGAAAACTGTTAAATACTTTCACTGTATTAATTGCTCTCAATTGGATTTCAAGATCTTGATGCTCATGTTAAAAATCATGCCTTCTCTGCATGTCCATTGTCTTGCTTTAGAGCTTCAAAACTGCTCAAATACACAAGAGTATTCTGTTTAAGATGTTCTGAAGCCTAGAATAGCAGATTTTGATTTGTCCCATATGATCACAAATTCTGTCTCTGTTGCAACTTAAAAATCCCACAAAAAAAACTATGCAAACAGAAGCAATGTATTTAACTTTATCAACATGCAGAGTTAAGGTGAGCTGTAACATGAATAAATGTCACTGCTAGGTAAACAGAAATGTTTTATTTTCGCTAGGTAAACATCTGAAGGGAAGCAAATTACCACAGTAAAGCATTCTTTCCAAAATACCCATCTCAAAGACTGCACCTGTTCCCCAGCTGCATTGTAAATACTGGCTTTGGCTGTCCCAGTTCTTAAACAAGAGATGATCATAAGCATCACAAAGCAGGGAGCAGCAGGTTGTTTTCTGGTATATGTAACGTTTTTCCTTTGGTTTTGTAACCAAATAAAGCAAAGTACATATTATTTACAAAGTTCTAGCAAGCTGTAATTCCATCCAATTACTATTTCATTCTGAGTTTCTTCCACATTTTAATAAAATTTAATTTACAATTACCCAACAATTAATTATCTGGATACTTCGGTCTGCCCTGAAAGGCCTGTTTTCAGTAGGCAAGAGGCAATTTCTAAAAATAATTGTTCTCATCTAGAGCGAACTCTAGGCTTTCTGTCCTTCAACAAGCACACTGAAAGTACAGCCAACATTAATGTATTAACATGCTGTTTTTTACTAGGCTGCAGGTCTATGGAAGATAAATTCTTCATCTTCTTACAGTCTTAAGACACAAGGCAAAAAGTGATTCAGAAGCCCATTCAGCCTTAGTCCAAGCATGCAGGCAATGCATTAACACCTGCCACACCCTAACACGCTCAGGGGTCAAAGAAAAAAAAAAAAAACTGAAACAACCCAAACCCCAACACAGGCATGGACATAGATGCCCAAGGTACTAAGAAGAAAAAAAAATTACAACAATTCAAAGCAAAGTTGAAAACTATCCTTCACTTTCTAAGATGTAAGAAAATGAGGCTTTATTTAACCAGAAGGAAGCTGAAGAATACCTACAGTAAAACAAACAAATGAAAAAAAAACAGAACAGGCCCCCAGGTATTGATTATTTAGTAGGACATTTAAATATCTTGATGTTTCTGCTATTTTGAGGCAGTTCCCTGTCCTTTGCAATTCACAAGCAGAGTTTTTATTTGGCTGAGCAGAAGGCAGAAGATTTTATACCACCATTTTGAGGAACTGCATGTCAATGAGAATCAGCAACAACACCCTGTGCTAATGTGGGGTGTGTGCAACTCAGTTGGTGTGCAAGACAGTGCAGGGGCATACAGGAAGGAAATATCAGAACTTCAGCAATGCATGTATATAGTTAATAACTGTACATACACAGGGGTTCATGCTCAAAGTTTTTTTATCAGTAGGGATGCTCAATCAAAAGATTAGGAGACCACTGCCTAGAGTAGCCTCACAGCCAGAGAGACAAGAAGATATTTATTCACCATCTTTTAATTCATGGGTTTCAGGTATATTTGGGTATTCTTAAAAAAAACCAAAGACACCAAACCCCATAAATGAAACTCATACATGAAAAAATCCTCACCATATTAAAAAAAATAGACAAAGAAGTTGTGGTGTATTTTTTATTTTCTACATGGCCCAAGCAATTTGCTTTTCTCTTCCACTAATACACACTTGGGAAATTATTTTAAAAAGTTCAAGGTAGCTTACAACTCAGTTGTAACTTACACTTTTACATGATTGTTTTCTAAATAACAGATTCTCAACAATGAGGAAACATTTGGTTTTAAAGCTATTTGCTGTAACAAAACACTGTACTTGAATTAAAGCAGTGTCAAGAGTTAGGGATCACATGAGGCTTCCCCTTTAAAATTAGCAAGACTAAAAAATGACAGAAACCCCTAATCTGTTAATTAAATTATTTCCCCAATGACTGACCTGAAAAGTTTTACTGTTGCCAGTCATAAAGGATTTGCTGTGGGCTCTTCAATCTCAGGATACTAATTTATAAGGATGATAATCACTTCCTTCAAACAACCATCACTTGGGAAGAAAGGTTACACATTAACTTCCAACATTCCTTCTCATAAATAGTGTAAGTTACTCAGATTCAGAACTGATGCCTTGTCTTTGCTATAGAGACCCTCTGGACTAACTGCAAATGTTTTGATATTACTAGGTCCTTGGTCCTTAAACTGCATTTGAAGCTAACCATCTTTAAAAATGTGTGTTTTGTTCAGAAAGGGAAAAAATAGTGATCTAGCAAGAACATGTGAAAAGACATAAGGAGGCCTGTGGAAAAAACCAGCAAAGTGAAATATATTTTATATTAAGTTGAAAACATCAACAGAAATATTTCTGAACTAACCATACATCTAGGAATTCCAAGGTACTATCCATCAGTCTATGTAAATTATCAGCAAATACCAAGGTTTCAAAATGGAAATCACCAATACATAAAGGGAAGAAGTTAAGATTGATTCCTCAATTTGCTAAAAATAACAAAGTTCTACTAGCACTTAAAAAAATTCACAATAGAATATAGTATTTCTGTTCTCAAGCAAAATTTACACATTAGATAGAAAGGAATTAGAAATATTTATTATCTCTAACAATTGAGGAAGTTTTGCTATGCCATGAATTTTGGTGAAATGTTTAGGAGCTAAAGTAGGCCTTTCATAACCACAAAAGAAGAGTATATAAAAGCATCTTATCTATCTCTGTGAAACTAGAAGCACACATCCATTATACTGTATGCACAAGTATGTGCAGATCTGTTTACGTAGTTACTTCTGGGAAACTACAATCTCTCAAAAGTCTGAAACATTACATTTATTTTAGGACAGACTTAGACATTATTTTCTTACAGTATATAATTGTTTCTTTTCTTCTCCTAAACAGCATTTAAGCCCATTCTTTCAGAAGCCAGACATCTTAACCTGTCAGATGTGTTTCTCATTCTATTTACTATTCTTTTGCTTAACATACTCCATTTTGGTTCTGGCAGCATGGTTTCAGAATGAAAACTACATTTCTGTACTTGAAAGGGGTTATGCATGTTCAGCAGAGGTACTCTGAACACAAAAAAAGCTTAAATAGGATGATCTCACAGTACCTATACTCTCTCATTACATTGAGAAGTGGGGCAGAAGAACAGTCAGTTTGTTCTTAAAAACTACTACTTCGTCATTAAGAAGAAATACTGCACTTTTCATCACTCACTTTCATATTCTGAAGCTACAAAAATGCCCCATAGAAAACATTGCCCAAATCTTCTAACATGCATGCTTGCCAAAATTAGTTCATATAAAAAGAACAAAACCAAGCCTCTTCCTGACTAGAGATGAGCAATCAGTTAAAGGATATTTTTGCTGAGAGAAATGTTAACATAAACCAAGTAAAGCACACTTTTTTTAAAGAGATACAGGTTCTAACTGATTTTAGCTATTCCAGGAAAAAAAAAAAAACAAAAAAAACAACTTTAAAAAATATTAACTAGCAACACCCTTCAAAGTTGTCTACAAAAGAAACGGTAAAAAAAGGAATTAGAAAATATTTACAACAATGGAAAAATCCCTGTATCACAGGCAATGGAAGGGATTTCTCCATCTTTCAAGTATTAACTGTACCTATTTCACAGGTTTTGTTTGCATGGTGCCTTGTCAGCCAATCCATTATAATTGTCCAACAGACCTATAATTGTCTACTACAATTCATATATATTCTTTCAGCTGTCAGGAGGAACAGGAGATGAGGGGTGTGCACACATACACACTATTCCCTATGCTGCAAGTTTTATGGAGAGGGGACAGGTTTTTTTGCTGCATACCTACATCTGCAAAAAAAAAAAACCAGCACCCAAGTGCTAATGTGTAATGCTGAAGGACAAATACATCACTACCATGTAAGAACCTCCACTTTAAACTTACAAGATGCTATGAGCAAAAGTTAAAAAACAAACACTTTACTCTTAATTTGATGGTGACTCAACTTCTTTGTCAGGTGTGTGCAAAGTGGATTAAGTTTCATGTATAAAATTGCTTGCAACAGAGCAGAGTTCACTGAAACACCTTCTGACTTAAGTGTTCCACTGAGCTGCAACACTGATAACTCAAAGTACATTACTCTGAAATAGCACAAACCAGGTTTCAGATTTGACCAAGGTCTAGTAAGAAGTGTTGTACAATTAATTCACTTTCCATTTTGAAACATCTTGTTACCAAAAAAAGATCTCACCTACCTCTAGCATTTATCTACTTTTAGTTTTCATCACCTATTCTGTTCAAGTTTTTTTCAGATTTATTTGGCTTCATAAATTTGAGCTACCTGTTTTTACAAATTCGCACATTTCTACCAGAGCAGTAAAGCTGTTGGGAACTAAAATAATCTTAAACCTGACTATTTGAATTATGTGGTTGGTTAACATGAGTGGCTTTCTTAGCATAAGTAGCTAGACTGCTGAAGTCTTATGCTGCAAGCAGTAACCTAGAGATTGACAAACTTAGACTGAACTCTAGTCTAAGTCACAAGAAGAGTAGGGGCCATGAGTAGTTTTACATGACTGATAGATTGTAACTGAGCTAGCATAATACGATTGCACAATTAATGTTAACGAAGATCGCATGCTTAGCAACATGAATTAGAGTAACCATTATGATCAAAGGAAAATGAAATGTAATTCAAGGAAATGAAGAAAGACCATTCCACCTATAGTCAGCAGAAGACAGATGAGATCTTGGTACTTATGGAGCAAAAAGATTATAAAACTGCGTAGGCAGATAAAGTCACCCATACCAAACCTCCAATCAAAGAGGACGAGTAAGCATTAAGCCATTTGGTTGGACAAAAGACAGTCCAGTCATGTGAACAAGAGTATGAACAGCTTATAGAATCACAATCATTCAGGTTGGAAAAAGGCCTTTAAGATTGTGTCAAACCATTAACCTAACTCTACCAAGTCCATTGCTAAACCATGTCCCTGAGCACTTATGTAACAGGTTGTGAGGCTTTAAAAAGCACAGGGAAATAACCAAGGGGGTCCCTCTTCAGAGGCACATAGCTAAGGCTGACTCTACGGGTATTCCCATCTATTAAATGATTTGTTTTTCTGAGATTAAATGCTTGAGACTGCTTCAGGAAACCTAGGGTTAGGACTGCACTTCTTTAACAAAAGCTAAGTCTTCAAAGACTTCACAGAAAATATTTTCCAGAGTATTGCAATTACCAACCAATTTAAGACAAAATCGAGGATACTCCTTATTCTAACCAGTTACTGCATTTGTTCAACTTCAGGCCATGTAATTTTTTTAAACCTACAAGAATTCTACAAATTTAAAAAATTCTTCAAGAATTGTTTCATGACAGGACATCCCACAACCACACTGTCTTAACTGGATTTGTGTATTGAAGTGTTACATAGCACACCTGCTAAAAACTTCTGAATTGCCTTCTTTATACAGTATCTCAACAAAGAGTAATGACTCCAAACAAGTCAGTCAAAAAATGAATGCTGGCACTAAAGAGAATGAAACTACAAAAATTGCTATGCATTGGAAATTAAAATGGCTACTGCCAATCTCGTGTAAAATTTCTTTATCAAGCCTCACCATAACTCACCAATGCAGCTGCTACCAGTAGCTGGAAAACCTTCCTGTGTATGTGGACTGTTAGTTACCAAAAGTTAGTTAGCAAACAATTTTATGCATGCCACAGCAACCTCTTAGATGCTATTTCACTTGAAAGTTCATTCACCTTTTAATAAAGAGATAGCTGAAAAGAACAATACTTACGAAATTGCAACATTACTTCCATCAATAATTATATGCTTCAAATATGGATTCCCAGGTTCATTTTTCAACTCCAGTCTGTATGGCCTTTTAAGGGATTCCAAAAATCTTTGAACTCCAGTAACTGAAGGATCAGCATGACGTCGGTGTGATCCCACTATCTCTCTATCATGATTTGAGGGATGCATTTGTGAAGAGAATACCTGGTCTGTGACAGGATCCTCAGAATTTGGGGTTTGGGAAAGGTTTTGGTTGAGAAACCTCACTTCAGAAGAGCTGCAGTGTCCTAACTGCTCCTCAAAACCAGGATGACTATTCTGTGCAGTTGAGGGCCCCACAGATTTTTGCTGAACAACAGTTTTAGTCTTAGTTGAGATACGCTGCACATCTGAGCTCCCTCTGGCTACAAAATCAGTATCTTTTAGGGTTCCATCTTGTATAGCGCGAAAAGTTAGAACACTACCAGTTTCTATATCATCTGACCTTGAACAGTGATTCTTACCAGGGCAACAAATGTCTCTTTGTTTATAGCACATAGCAGAATTTTTACTGGTAGGAGAAGCAGGTTTGCATACCAACATAGGCATTTTATCTTCTGCATCAATTTGCACACTTGGTGAATCTCTTATTTTGTGATATTCACTTTTTGTCTCCTTTGAAGTATGACTGGATTTAAGTGGATTTTTGTTGCTAGAAATACCTTTGTCCTCTAGCTTTTTCAAATTATTTGTATTACTTCCAAAAGGAGGATTGATAGTACTAGGCTTTTGAGATGACTGTTGGAGTTCCTTTTGAAATTTTAAGTTTTCCTTTTCAATTTCTTCTAGCAATGTTAGTGGTTCCACAGATTGTCCTAGGATACCAATAACTTTCTCTACAATATTTTTGGAATATCCCATTGTTCTGAAAAAGTTCACAAGGATCTTGTATTCCATTTCCTCACTGATATCATCACCTTCTTTAAAGCAATAATGGGGATCACTTGATTCACTGCAGCTATCTGAAAGTAGATCAATAACTGCATCACCGTCTGAAATATTACTGTGTGAAGCAGATTTCACTTCCTGATCATTTTCCAAAGAAAACTGCTTTTTAGGGAGTCTTTCCTCATCATCAGAGGATCTTCTTTTACATGATTGCCTTTCTTTAGACACCACTGCCCCTAACAGAGGCACAATGTTTATGGGAACAAAGCTTGTTTCAGGAGCATCAGAAAAAACAGTGTCCATTTGCTTTGTAAGCTCAGTTACAGGTGTCCCAGCATTGTTTCTTGCTTCTTCACCTTCTGCTCCTCCATCTCTGTTTGCAGTGATTACTTTGGAAGCTTTGTTCTGTGACATCTCTGGTGGGCTTTCAGAACGTGTAAGATCTATGATATCACTATCCACTTCACAACATTCAGTTTGTGTGAGAGCTAGGAGTTCTCTTTTTAGAGAGCTAGGCAAAATCAGTAAATCCATTGTGTATTTATCAGCATGTGCCTCCACAAATTGTCTGAATTTCTTTTTAATCTCCGATTCATTGTCACTTAATAAGCTTTCATTATTCTCAAAAAGCTTCACTAACTGCTGAACATGACTTTGAGCCATAACAACAGCTTCTGCACCCCCCTTAATGCTGAGCAATCCTATTTCCAGCACTGTTATATCAGCACAGGTATCCTGAATAAGACTGTTGAGAAACAGGCTTTGTGCACCAACAAAGATGCAGTGCATGTCCTTTGGGTAGTACTCCTTTTCTTCTAGTTCAGGTTCACAGAGTCCTTTAATATATTCCTAGAAGAAGAAAAAGACAGCAGAATGAATATTTGTGAAAAGCTAATATATAGTTAGTTTTGGTTAGGTCAGTAATGGACAAGTACATTAGAAAATAAAGCCAACTTAGCATAAGAAATCTGAGAAAGTAAATACCACCAGGAAGCCAATAACAGAAATACAGATATCTGAAATAATTTTAAAATAGATCTCACAGAAGGCTAACTTTCTTTTAAATGCTATTGCTTATAAATACATTTACTTGAAACTAATTGTGCACAAGTATTTAGGTTGTAGCTCAAAAAATTTAAAACACAAGTCAAAAGAAATTAATTTTCCCTATGCCCATTTTTTCATCAAAGAGAACACACACTTCATGAACAAATACCCTGCACTAGAGAATTCCACCTAGTCCATAAAACTGAACTTCTAAAAATAGTTTCTAAAGAAAGTTTCCAAAGGCCTAACACAGTAGTAGCTATCCTATATCTTTAAGTTGCTATGTGTTACTTATTCTATACTTACTACTCATGAATCAAGAACATTAATCCTGTGGCATGGCACAATATAACTAGAAGCCACAGTAGTATCCATTAAAAGATGTCCTACAGGGAAAAAAAAAAAAAGCTAAAACCAAGCACTCTTATAAATTCCCTTATTAACCAAATAAAACATTTGTACTTTAAAGCTACTACCTGGACAGTGCCAGCTTACAATAGGTATATACTATTTCTTCTTTCAGGTAGCATAATTTTTCTACTAACTATCTCCCTCTGTGCTTAAAACTCCGTAATGTAACAAGGCCAGTTCCTAAGCTTCAGTTTGTATTTGCAGACTCCCAAGAATACAGAATTTTATTATCTTATCTTTACTCTTAGAAATTAAACTTATCTTTTAAGTAGAATGAAAACCAATAGAAGGTAATGAATAACGTAACCTCTCTTCCTATCTCTCCCGACTTACATCACCACAGATATCAAGGCAGGCTGCTTCAAGACCACATTAGCACAAACTGCTTCTGCAACAAAATCCACAGGACTACTTTTCATGCCATAGTCATCATATGGCTGGTTTTGCAGAGCAACAGGATAATAACATAATTACAAAAAAGGATATTGAAAGCATGTGATGTTTTTTATATTTACTAAGCAGCACTGAAGAATTAATTACATGACTGATGAATTAAAACACAAATTGCTACCAAAACGTTCAAGCAAGACAAAGAGATGCAACTCCACTAACTTTCTACTCAATAACCCCCCCAGAGAGGGTCTGAAAACAGCTCTGTGTGTAAAGGAAGTCAAGTCTCCCATAACCTTTGAAGTATCTGGAGTAGGAAACATTTTGTAAGTTATTAGGAAAAGCAGCAATTAGAAAATGGAAATCTTACGCTGTTTTGCTTTTTGGCAAAAGCGAGAAGTTGTACTGCAGCTGCCTGGAGAAGAATAGCAGTTTATGCTACCTGTCACAGTTTCTAGAGTCTCTGAGCCCAAATACCCAAGCAGATTGGTTTACAATCAATTTCAGTGTCAAACGATTCAAACCCCTCAACATTCATAGTATTTCCCCTAGAAGTCGTATGCATTACATGTGTATTTAAACACACAAATGCCCACATCCTAAGATCTCGGTTTTGAAAGCTACCCTCAGCCTAGCTAAGGGCTCACACCACCGTTCTCACCAAGTGATTCCAACAGCTATAGCTGCCAGGTCCACTATGAGTAACACTAATTTCATCATCACTGCTGACCCCTCCAAAAGGTAGCTGTATAGGACACATAACAAAATAATTCTGTGAATATACCTCACAACAACGAGTGTCCCAGTGAGTCACACAGACAGCCTAGGCGGCTCTCGCTTTCAACGTGTTTAGTGTTGGGTTAAAAAAAAAAAAAAAAGCTATCTCCTGCAGCAAGCAGGTTGTAGAAGCAGTCTGTCAAATTCTACACTAAGGGAACACCAGCTCTGTTACACTGTTAGCAAGAGCTCTACTATTAAGCTACTAAATGCCACAGAGTAAGTAAAGTCTTCAAAAGAACTGTGAAACACGGTTAACAGCCAACCAACTCTGAGGAACTTCTTGACTTCGAAAACAAAAACCGGAGTGATAAACCCATAATGACACTTTGAACCCAAACCGGGTCTATTCTCCCAGGTGCCATAACCACCGCCGCAGCTACAGGCTGTAGGAGTATTTCACAATGCGGTGACTGGAACGCACCCTACAATACCAAGGAACTTTGCACCTCCCAGGTGAATTGTTTCGCTTTACTCTTTACGCTTATGTCAACATCACTGGAGACACCCCGGCACCTGGAACACGCCTATTTGCCGAAGCAGGACCGCTTCTGTTTCCTCCACCGACTTTCCCCAACCCGTTCTCCCTCCTGCCCGCACACAACGACCCCGAGGGGTCTTTCCCAACGCGACCACGGCCCCGGGCTCCGCGCGGGAGACCGAGGCCGCAGGCTCACGCTCTGCCGCGGCCCCGTACCTTGGCGCCGCGCACGGCCTTCT